TTACTATTTTATGAACCTGATAATAAAATGCGATTGACAATGTATTATTATTGCCAAGTTAGGCATTGGTCAAGATATCAAGCTTCGTTGCCTTGACGGTATGCTCTGTCTATCGCTTGGTAATCCAAGTGCCTTAGTGAGTCCTTGAAACAAGTTTGAGCCTAGAGGTAAGGATTTTGTCTCAGCTCTGAATGATAGGAGAGGAGTTTTATTCTTCTACTAATATGTGACTGTTGGTTATTTTCAACAACTCGGCTAGCATCTTCAGTCGTTGCAGGCCTAGCGCAAATTGGAAGGTACCTTCCTTCAGCCCTTGAGCTAGGGTGGAATGAGCTACTTGTCCCTATCAAATCTATAGGAGGGTCTACAAATTTTTTTAAGGCTTTTGGGTGTTGGCAAACTACTCCACAAACATTCTCTTGAAATCAGGAAATGGTACAATAACTCCCAATAATATTGCATTAAACAACCTGAGACTGAACCTTTCAGCGTTGTAAAGAAAATATGGCATTTCACTGCACCAGTATTCTTAATATAGACACAGTCGACTCAAAGAAAGCTATGTAGTTGGTCAAATCAATTATGATTTTATAAGGCTCTAATGATGGGATATTAAATTTCTCTGTGGGGCTCAGCATGAGAGATTTGGCTTGAGAATGCAAAATCTAGCTATTGAGGTACCTTAGTACCCTCAAACCAGTATCGGTCAATCAGTACTGACTCAACACTATCAAATTACTAGGAGTCACCTTCTACCAAAAACTTGGGGAGCTAGAGTACTACTTTCTCCCCTAAGCAAGTGCATCTCAGATAATATCCAACATTTGATCTTCATCTCCATTGTGAGAATCTTCTCTTTGGGTTGCTCCTTTTCTTATCTGGGCATACTTATCATACTTTTTAGAATGTTGAATCTTGAATCACGCCCCAAGGAATAGAGCGTAAGAAAGGAGAAAGTGATAGAGAGACACAGAGAGGAGTGAATAGTAATGAACAACAAATTGTATCAATTATCTTGACATTTCCCAAACTTTTTGTCTAAAATGAGCTATATCTGCCCTCCCTTAAACATGAATGATTTCCTATTTATACAAAAGAGAGTATAATGTAGTGCTGTTACAATAGGGGTTGTACATGGTATTCTAGGTATTTTACATATACAAGTCCATTGCTTGGCTGCTCTCTGGCTCAATCAATTGTGCTTGATTGGCTTCAAGTCAGCAAGACTAGTTCGGTCGGCTAGCTTGGTCGGCATTATGAATATGATGATCTAGTCTAGATGTTAACTCTCGATCCCTGGTTAGAAACTTTTGTTGGCAGAGCGTTGATGCACTATTAAGCAGAGAGTGAATCACTGTAATCTGATATGTAGGTCACTACTCAACGAGGAGAGCCTAAGGGATGACTATAAAACTCTTTGTTGTATAATTAATATTTATCCTTGATGAAAAGCATCAAGTGCGTCTGTTAGTATTGTAAAACTACATCTTTCCTCAGACCAAATTTATCGAACGGTATGATACTGTGTTGGCTAGTTTCCTTGTAATTGTTGGCACAGATGCCTTCGTTTCACTTTGAGTTGTTCGGGCTTAGATCACTCGATTGTCTTCTTGTCCTCTTCGTAGCTCGGTCGATTTTGGCCTTGGCTCGGACGGCTACATATGGTAGGCTCTTGACTTTGGCTCGAATGCACATTTTTGATGTATAATACAAATTGGGTGATATGTATGTAAATCTTTATAATTTTTTTACTAAAATATGTTTTTGATTGGAAATAATATCATTAAATAAATTATAAAATAGCATCGATTTTATTCAGAGATCAATGCTGCTCATGCCTTTTGTGGGAATTTTGTCTTTTAAGAAACTCAATAGAATAGAGATGTAGCCACACTGAGGTTGTTTCCTTCGGTCAATCATTTTAGTATTCAAACAACTTTTCAGTCAACGATTTTACCAGCCGAACTACTTACTATTAGAAGGCTGCCGTCCATTTGCATACCTCACGATTAAAAGCTTTATCCACCGCACAATTTTAATTTTATGTGAAATATAATTTCTTGATACCCATAAATGCATATTGACTTCTAAACATGGCATACATACATACATATATATATATATATATATACCTACTATTCATAATTCTCATATTTTTTTTCAAAAAAATC